GCTGGAAGGATTCTTAGAACTTTGCTGACGAACTCTTCTAAGGTAAACATCTTTCCAAGTGATTTCAGTTCATTGGTTATTATAGTGAACCTAGTCATCATATCCTCGATGGGCTCAGACTCCTTCATGGAGAAAAGCTCATAGTTTCTCATCAGTAGTTCAATCCTTGATCTTTTTACTTGGTTTGTTCCTTCATGAGTAGTTTGGAGTGCATCCCATATCTGCTTCGCATTAGAGCACACATAAATTCTATTGTACTCATCAGAACCAAGTCCACATATAAAGATTTTTTTAGCCTTTGCATTCTTCTCTATCATTCTAAAATCTGCTGCCACAAATTCAGAGGGGTCCTTAGGAACTGTTTCATTTTGTGCATTTTGTTTAGTAGGAATCAAAGGACCTTGGTTCACTATGGTCCATAGTTCATAGTCTTCAGCTGTTAGGAAGACTTCCATTCTTGTTTTCCACCAACTGTAATATTTTCCATTGAACAGGGGTGTCATGATAGTTGATTGTCCTTCATTAATTCCTGGTGGAGCACTCATCTTGCTTCCAAGATCTCTCTAGGTGTTAGTCGTGTAAATGAGAGAACCCGCTTTGATATCAATTGTTAGTTTGAGTGCCTGTATGAATTACTAAAGAACTTGATTCTTTACCATGTTCCTTAAGCGTAAAGTAAACAAGCAATAAAATAAACACATCGATTTTTACGTGGAAAATCACCCGGCTCAAAAGGTACAAAAACCACGACCTACCACGTAGGATTTTCAGCTCCAACTCCACTAAAAAACTGAGCCAAAATGTATCAATTACAGGACTCATTGATACAACTCATTGTAAAGCAAAATACTACCTCCAACTCATTGATTATTTTTGACACTTGATTACAACTCAATTACCTAAAACACATTTACTAGACTGACTCGGGAAGAATACAATGCAAGTACTCAACACAAGTAAACAACTTATGACTATTTAGTTGGTGTGCAAAAGGATAGTTTAGAAGTCCAAAATCAATCCTATTTAAACACGACTTGAGATCTTCTATGAGTCCTATTCAAAATCATCTTCCCCTTTGATAGGACTCCTACTGTTCCAAGGATTCCACACGCTTTGAAACTTTGGTTTCTGACTGAATTATCCATATTTGTTTGAACAACGACCTTTATCACTTATAGTAGCCATCGTCCACCAAACTCGGACCTGGTAACTTTGAGATAAAGTTACTATCTTCTACAGAAGAGCAAGTTCTTCAGAGCAGTTAAGCATCTACGTTGAGGACTTGGTTCTTTGAACATTTAGTCATACTTTGTTAATCCTCAAAACTTCAATATTCAACAAAAACTATGCGGGTTTGGCCCAAAGCGAATAATATCGCACCATGTTAAGAGTATCTTTGGTCCGTTTTAGCCTAACAAACTAGTATCAGAGCCAAGGTTTGGCGGGACGAGTATGGAGATAAAAAAGTGATGGTGCGGGGCGGCGCGCATACAAGAAGAAGCTAGTTGCGGGCTTCGGTTACCATAATACTCTAACAATGTGGGTGGCATACTGTGAATCTCGGAAATTGACCCGTGGATCGTGGCAATGGGCCTCATGGAACTTAGTTCGAGGAAGTGACCCGTGAATCGTCCCACATTGGTAGCCGAAAAGATTGGGAGCCTACATATAAGGTGCAGGGATCTCTTAGTTGTGTGAGGCCTTTCGGGAAAAATCGTGCGGGCTTGGCCCAAAGCGGACAATATCACACCATGTTAAAAGTATATTTGGGCCGTTTTAGCCTAACACTCCCTTCATATTTCTATTAGTACTAGTTTCTCGACACGTGTGTTACGTGTATGCCAAATTATATAGTATACAATTTTGTAAAATAATATCTTGGTCTTTTCTATCGTGACTGAACCTGATGGTGAAGTGCTCAAAATGTGAAAATGTATTTAATAGATAGATCAATTGAAAGCATGCAAAAAGAGATTGGTACAAATATGTCCAACACATTCAGAACTTAATCATTTCACCTATTTTACCTCTCTTCATCCCTTAGTATAAGAGCTCACCCCTTTTACTATAACCCATAAGTTTAATGATAACCAAGCAAAAATTGGTTTAACTGGCCAGTACCTTACTGAAAAAGATAATATATCTTAACTTATGTTGGCAACAGTAAGCGAATACAAAATTGAAGTGGTACAACAACAACAATATTAGACAAAAATATGCAATTGAATGAGTATTAATTAATTTTTGAACTCGATGAGAACGACATGTTTTCATAATATATACTCCCCAAACAAGACAAATAATCCAAGTCAATGAGGAATCTATATACTCCCCATATAAGACAAATATTCCGAGTCAATGAGGAACTTACTTAATTACAAAAAAAATAAATAATGTCCTATCATCAAATTTAGACATAGTGAAATTTAAACGTAAAAAATGAGAATATTTTATGCTTTTCCAACCGACTCCCAATTTTTTTTTTAAAAAGAAAACAATTTACTCTGTCAAAGTTTGAGAGTTAACATGTATAAGCTGAAACAATTTTATTGTAGTTTCAATTAAATCGCTATCTACCGAAAGAGTTTTTATTCTCAATGCTCTAATTCCAAATCTCTTATTCAAAGGAGAATTTCTACTATCCTACCGCACCACGATAAAAAAACACAAGTTACTACCTAAGTTATGAGTTCTTAAAAAATCCTATATTCAAAAGTTTTGCCAATGAAAAATGGCAACATAAAAAAAAAATTATATGAAATCCAACTCAAATTTCTTCAATAAGTAAGTCGGCAAAGGTCCAAATATACTCTTGTACTTTCGAAAATTGTCTAAGAATACCCCTCGTTATACTATTGGGTTATCTATACCTCTGCAGTCATACTTTGGGTTCAAATATACCCCTCATTTGTAAAAACTGGAAAAAAAAATATTTTCGTTTCTTTCAGTTTTTAGTAAAAAAAAATTCAATTTTTTCCAGTTTTTAGAAAAAATAATTACTTTTCGGGTACCAAATAATGAGTCTTTTTAATTAATTAGTAAATATTTAGAATTGGCCAACAAGACGATGACACGTGTCCCTCCGTTTAAATGAGGGGTATATTTGAACTCAAAGTATGACTGTAGGGGTATAAATAACTCAATAGTATAACGAGGGGTATTCTTAGACCATTTTCGAAAGTACAGGAGTATGTTTGGGCAAAGGGTATAAATAACTCAATAGTATAACGAGGGGTATTCTTAGACCATTTTCAAAAGTACAGGGATATATTTGGACCTTTGCCGTAAGTAAATTGGCAGGCTTCCCTTACGTATAATAACAAAATCTACTCTATCACATGGCCAACACTAACAAAAAAAAATATTATAGTCTGATCAATTATATAGCAAAACTCCTTTGAATTCTAATTTATTTTTATTTTGGAACCCTAGTCAACTTAACAACAAAAAGACTATAATTTTTATAATTAGAATGCTACATTTTTTATAAGATCCTCCTCAATTGTGTTCTGTATCATCTTTTGTTATGAAAAACTTGAAATGACTTGACTTGATTAACTTAAATAAATAACATTTTAGTGTTATTTCATACAACATGATTAAAACTAAAAAATTGAAAGACAACACAAGAAAGCGTTTTTATACATAACTATTCTTGTATTAGGAAAAAAATATTTAAAGAGGTATTGATCAAATAATAAATATTTTTCTCTAAACAATATTGTGAATGTATTCAAATATATTTACAAAGGTGTTAAATTACTGTGTTTATTCTCTAATGTTCTGATTAAATGCTCAAAATAACTATATAAGGGGGTCTAAATACTATGCTAAAGTTTATTATATTAGTCAGATTGCGTAAATGGCATATGATGGTAAACTAAACAATACTAAGACTAAAAATTAAACTATAGACAATAGCATAAACAAATTGAGCAAATAAAGACATACTCATTATTTTGAGCCACGAAACATTGCAGAAACAATAATTGAAAGAATGAACAAACCTTAAATGAGCGATAAATTGTCTTTAAATTTGATGTAAAGAATCTCTTTGGCCCTCACGACGAACCGATCCCAAAATTCAATAGCAATCTTTCCACTAACATAATAGAGACATGGATAGAGAAACTCAAAAATAGTAGTGTTTGGACTGTTTTTAAACGTAAGTAACTTCTTCAAAACAGGTGTAGGGAACGTTTTCATATTATATAAAAACCGTTTGGCTTCTCTTTGTAGGTATTAGAATCTTTTTATATTATTATATAGGGTAATTAGGTTTTTGGGTATTTGCTAATTGCTCAAAGAATCTAAGACAGTTACGTGATATGTGTTAAATGAAAGATTAGAAACTTTTTTTCTTATCAGAAACGGTGGCAACTCTTCAAAACAGCCATGTATTGGATTCTGTTCCTACGCTTTTTTTTAATATTTAATAAAATAAGTTAATAAGAAGGATATTTTAATAATTTAACTTTTAAGTTAGGGAATTTATTTTTTTAACTTTTAACTTTTAAGTGATCGTTTGGTAGGGTGTATAAGAATAATATTGAATAAGTTGTATTTATAATGGTGAAATTATTTCTTATTGACCGTTTGATTGGTGTATTAAGGGTTTGAAAAGGCAGTTATGTCCTTATACATGCTTCTCCATGTATTAAGAATCATAGTATTGCTAATATCATAGTTTGCTATGTGTAAAATAGTAATGAATATAGTGTATAACTAATAACAAGTAGTATTAGTTATTTACAAAACAATGGATTATATATCATTTTCCCTAATACATAATTACAAACGGCCCCTAATAATGTAATATTTCTACCATATCACTTTAATAACTTAAATCTTCCTGGAAAAACAAAACTACTCCACTAGTTAACAGTGTAAAAAAAGTAAAGGCAAAAATGAGTATTTTTGCATGGTGGGTTTAGAGGCGGGTCCCTTGCACATTGTTCCATAGCCTTTCTGGACTCTTATAAAGACCCTGACACCCCCATTCCTTGTAATTCCTATCATAGCAAAAACAACATATATTGCATTACCATAATATCCTCATCTTCATTATCTTTTTTCAGTTCCTCTCTTAGCTTTCAACTATCATCCACTGAGTACTCTCCTCATTTGGATGTTGTTGTTTGCTTAAGGTAATCAAACACATATGTCTCTTGGAACTTGAAATTTTGTTAGTTAAGCATATAGTATATGACTTGTTTTCTAATTCATTTCTCAATAAATTGGCTATAACTTTTGTGCAGAAGGAAAACACTCCTATTTATTTTTATCATCTCAAGATGTCAGCAGCAACAATGAGCATCAAGAACTTCAACTCAACTTTGAAGATGGAAGATAAGGGTATACCACTACCCCCACCACTACCCCCATTATCTAAGGCAGGCAAAGCAAAACAACAAGGCATAATGTCCATTCTTGGATCAGACAACAACAAAGCAGCTGCAGTAGTTTCCATTAGAAGAACTCTTTCAGCTGATATGTCATCCAAAAAATGGCTTTCACAAAATGGATTCTTCTCCCCTATGAAGAAAATTGCCTCCTCGGAAGAGCTTGCTAATCTTGGACAAGATGATGTTTGGAAATCAATCCAAAATAGTAGTAACAAAGCAGAGCCAATTACATCAGTTGATGTTTGGAGCTCTATTTTAACTCAAAAGAAAGATGACTCATCAGCCACAGTTCCACCTCCTTATATTCACCCTCTCTTAAAAAAATCCAGCTCTTTGACTGAGAAAAGTCTTAAAATTTGTACTGAAAGTCTTGGATCAGAGACTGGCTCTGAAATTAACCTTTCCTCTTACCCACCCTCTGAGTCTGATGATGACAAAGACGATCATCAACAACAACAAGAATTCATCTCTCACTCATTTGAGGAATTTCCAGTTGTTAAGTACAATCATAACAAAAGATCATCATCTACTCCTAAGTCATTCCCTCCTCCTATTTCTTCCTTGGCTGCAGAGGATAAACCCTCTGTTCACATGCAATCTCACAGGCAAAATGGTAGATTGATTCTTGAAGCTGTTTCAGTTCCTTCCCAGAATCTTTTCCGTACCCAACGCGTTGATGGCCGCCTTCTTCTCACCTTAATCAGCACTAATCCTACTTCAGAAACAGAGGATAATCAAGAAGTTGCAGAGTTTGAGAAAGTGTTCGACGAAATGCAAGAAGTTGAATATAATGAACCACCTCAGTTAGACTATGATGGTGATGATGGTGATGAAGAAGAAGATGAATATGAAGAGGAGGATGAAGATGAAGAGGAAGAGGAAGAGGAGGTGGAGGAGAAAGAAAATGGGACAAAAGGGATGCAAATTGTGTTGGAACAAAAACCAAGATTGTCAAATGGTAGGATGAATGTGAACACATCAACATTGATGATGAAACAACTAATGGGACTAGAGAAAAAGAATCATCATCTAAAATGGTCAAACAAAGAGAATGAAATAACCCAAGTTCCTCATTCACTTCCACCAATTTCTCAGCTGATTACATCATCACCAAATCCACCTTCAGCAGCAGCTTCTTTCAATGCCTATGAGTATTTCTGGAGGAAGAATCCCACTATTGTTAACAACTACAATGATGACAAGCAGGTTGTTGTTTCAGCCCCCAATAGTACTACTCCCAATGCCAACGGTACTACTACAAAGATAACATCTTATGAGCAGAAAGATTTGGTGCTAATGAGAGGAAACAAAGGAAATATCAATAACTTGGTGCCTTTGTTGAAAGGATGCAAAGAACCAAGGAGATCTCTTCTCATTTGGGAGCCTCACTGCATTGCCACCTCCTAATAATCATCATCACTTGTCTAATCCCAGTGTTAATTAATTAGATCATAATATGTAATCACATAAGTATAATATCATAATAATAATAATAATAAATGGAGTAATGTATCATTTAGAAATATAATTTTTCCTCTCTTTGTTAGTACGTCTAGTTTTTACTCTTTTTGTCAAAAAAGAGTTTCCTGTAGCCAAATAAACAAAGAGAGAGGGAGAGAGATAAATTATCAATGTCTTTGATTTTAGTGGATTGAACAAGGAAAACATATAGAAGATTTTTAGTTGTTTTCGAAACCATTATCAAGCCTCTGTTGTGTGTTTTAGTTTATGATGATATTATAAAAAATAGAGAGCTACTTTGCTAGACAAAACTCTTAATTATGAGCCAAGTTTGACTTGGTGTGTGTTATGTCTGTCTGTCTCAGCATCAAATTGGAATTCTCCTTTTCTTCCTCTTTTTTTTTTCTTCCTTTTGTCCTTAGCTTTTTGTCATTCCAATCAGAGGTGAAGGAATTGAGTGCCTATGCTTTATAATTATAGGTGGAGAATAAGCAATCCAGGTTTCCCTTGGGAAATTTCAGAAGCTCATGATTGTGTAATATATCTCTAAGGTTTTATGAACTGCTTCACAATTTACATGTAATTATATATTATAGAAATATTTTTGAAACATTAGTTCCAATAGTTCGGGTGTTACTTTTATAATTTATTGACTCTGATTTTACAGATGGCCCTTCCCCCACTTTTGGCGGTGCAATCTTCTTTCTATTCAAGTGCATACAGCTCCCATCGATCAGTGGCGGGTCTAGGATTTTAAGTTCACGGATACTTAACTTTTTTGACGTATAGTTACTATCAATCACATAGTATAAGTGCACAACTATTTAAACATGACGGCACAAAAAAAGAGGTAATAGAAAGACTCATATTGATATAATATGGACGGGGTAACGAAAAATACAACTGGCGAAAAGTGGTGTAATGACCCAAAATGTCATCTTTAAATTTAATGATTAATTATGTGATCTAAGCACTATTTACCATTACTCGACTTGCGTGTGCAGTCCGTAAAATTTTTCCGGAAAGTTTTCGGGTGAAAAATGGATAAAAATGTGAATTAGATGTTTAAAGAATAACTGAGTTGACTTTGGTCAACATTTTGAGCAAACGGACTCGGATCAGTATTTTGACAGTTCCAGTAGGTCTGTATCGTGAATTGGGACTTGGGCGTATACCCGGAATCAAATAGTGACCGGATGTCGAATTATGTGCAAATGACCCCGAAATAGAATTTTGATGATTCCAACAGCTCTGTATGGTAATTTTGGACGTAGAAGCGTGATCGGAATTTTATTTGGAAGCCCGTAGTGGAATTAGGCTTGAAATGTCGAAAGTTAAATTTTTGGAAAATTTGACCGAGGGGTTGACTTTTTGATATCGGGGTCGAAATCTGATTCTGAAAATTTTCATAACTCTGTTATATCATTTATGACTTGCGTACAAAATTTAAGGTCAATCGGACTTGATTTGATAGGTTCCGGTGTTGTTTATAGAAATTGAAAGTTTCAAAGTTTATTAGGCTTGAATCTATGTGTGATTCATGATTTAGCGTTGTTTGATGTGATTTGAGGTTTCAAATAAGTTCGTATGATATTTTAGGACTTGTTGGTGTATTGGGTTGAGGTCCCGAGGGCCTCGGGTGAGTTTCGGATGGTTAACGGATCAAAATTGGGACTTAAACAGCTGCTGCAAAAGCTGCTGCAAATTTTCTTCTGCTGTGCAATCGAGCCCCCAAAAATCGAGCCAAGGATCGAAGGCAAGCTCGAAGGCCAGTGATCGAAGGCCCAGGATCGAGGGCTATGACCAAGGCCAGTGATCGAAGGCCATAAAGATCGAAGTCATGATCGATAGCCAGGATTGATGGCTATGATCGAGCCCCGGTGTCGAGGACCATGATCGGACTCCCCTTAATCGGACCCCCCATAATCGGACTCCTATGATCAAGGTCCAGGATCGGACCCCATGATCGAGGTCACCCTGGACAGATCTGTAAGTTATAAAATCAGGGGGCTTCGTCCCATTCGTCATTTTTAACAACTTGGAGCTTGAGTAGAGGCGATTTTTGATATATCTTCAAGGAAAAACATTGGGTTAAGTGTTCTTAACTCAATCTTGATTAGATTACCCGAATCCATCACTGTTTTTAACATTTAATTGGTGATTTAAGTTGAAAAAATTTGAAAACCCTCTTGGATAAATTTGTAGATTTGAGGGTCGAATCGTTATTGGAATTTAGTCATTTTGGTATGGTTAGACTCGTGGTTGAATGGGCGTTCATATTTCGTAACTTTCGCCGGATTCCGAGATGTGGGCCCCACGGGCAAAGTTTGAGCTAATTTCGGAGTTTATTGAAAAAAATATAATATTTTCTTATGAAATTGATTTCTATAATTTTTGTTGACTGTATCGAATTAATTATGACTAGATACGAGTCGATCGGAGTCGGAAAATCGAGGAAAAAGTATAATACTTGATTAAATTGGAGCAAGTCGAGGTAAGTGACTTGTCTAACCTTGTGTGGGGAAAATTTATTAATGTGATTATTGAAATGTGTTGAAAGTCGTATACACGATGTGACGAGTGTATACACGGGCTAAAGGTGAAAGATTATATTTTTAAATTGTGTAGATCATTGTTGCGCATTTATTAAATTATTTTATCTTGTTATATTCTTCATCATTGATCTGTGATATATATTTTAAATTTGTTTGACCTTTTCCTGCTAATTGTTTTACCTGTTTAATTGAAACTTGGTTTCTTTTATACTGTGCATTATTTGAAGGTTGATTTTCTTTAAATTAAATATTATTAATATGAAGTATTTGACATTTTTAAATTTGATATTGAAGCAACGTATTAAAATTTTAAAATATTATTTTCCTGAATTATTTATTTTTGAATATTTTCATAAGATTTTTTTTGGTACTAATTGTGATGGAGTCGTGAGCTCTTTATTGTGGAAATACTATTATTATTGGATTATTCTGGCATGATCCGTGAGCTCTTTATTATTGCAAAATATTATTGTTGATTTATTGTGAAAAATTGAAATATTGGGCACTTGAGGTGTAAATTGTGATATATTGTGATATTAATTTGCATGCGGTGGTATAAGGTTTGGGTATTCAAATGCATGCGGTGAGATAAGGGTGGCTTGATACGCGTGGCTAGTAGGAGTGACTACTAGAAGTCATGCGGTGTGATAAGGGTGGCTAAAACGTGGAATGCTATTTCGGAAAAAATATTTTCTTTAAATAAATCGTGAAGGCTCCCGCGGTGGTATAAGGAAATGAGATATTGTGAAATTATTTATAATTTTTGACTAAGAGGCGGTACCTCGGTAGTGCCCTTGTTGATATTGATTTATGGCCATAGTTGCCTTCGATTAATTGTTGTGATTTTCACAAAGTTGAAGAAAATTCTGTTTTGATTCCACGAGATATTATTTGTAATTATTTGGTGTCATTAAATGTGACATACTATTTGATTCATTTCCAATGTCATTTTATTTTACTATATTGATCAACATTTTACCATGTCATTATTATATTCCAGTAGGGCCTCACCTGACCTCGTCACTACTCTACCGAGGTTAGGCTTGGCACTTACTGGGTACCGTTGTGGTGTACTCATACTACGCTTCTGCACATCTTTTTGTGCAGATCCAGGTATATTTTACCAGCCTAGACGTCAGTGAGTTACCTGCGCACGGAGACTTCGAGGTATATCTGCCAGCGTCCGCAGACTCCGGAGTCCCCTTCTATCATTTTATGTTGCTTTCTTATATTTTATTTAGACCTTGACATATAGAGATATTGAGAATAAATTCTTAGAAGCTAGTGATTTATTTCTACCGGGTTTTGGGAGTTGAAATTATTTGAATTGTAGTTTATTTATTTCATATATTTATTATTATTCCGCATTGATAGGCTTACCTAGTCTTAGAGACTAGGTGCCATCACGACATCCTACGGAGGGAATTTGGGGTCGTGACAAGTGACGGAGCCAGAATTTTTATTAAGGGGTGTCAAAATATATAAAAGTAAACAAATCAGAAAATTAATAGGAGTCAACACATAATATATATACATATAAATATATTTTTTACCTACATATACAATGTATTTTTCCCACGAATAAATGTTATTTGACACCCTTCTTATAAAGTGGCTCTAGAAATTTTTTTCGATGAATTTTGCCACTCTAGAAAAACTGTTACTAGTTTATAAAAGGGGTCGAACTTGGAGTTTCCTCCTTTTTTTGCTATGCTATAGAGAATTATTAGGTAAAATAGAAAAATAAAAAAGGAAAGGTAAAGCAAAATTCAAGGAATAAGTAGTCTGAAAAATAAATAAAGCAGTAGTATTTTGTATTAAAAAGTAGGTACTGGATAAAATAAAAAAGGACCTAATTTAGGGTAAAAGGAAGCAAGTATAAGATGAACTTGTCACAAGTGTGTTCGAATTCCCGACCACTCACTTCTTTAAAGCCGCAACTGCCTTTCATTTACCAAAGCACACATCAGCTTTTTTATTTACTGGGTGCTTTCTCCCCTTTTATATCAAATACCTTAAATTTCCTATATAATTATACTTATCCTGTTAAGGTTAATGGGTGCTGAAATATCCAAATTTAATATGTAGATCCGCCCCGTCTTACAATCATCAAGTTGTAAACACAATCAACACACAAATAAGTTATATAAAATAAATGACCATGTAATAGTTTTTACTAAAATAAGTTATATAAAATAAATCCTTTAGGTGATTTGATTATTTAGATATTTTTATATTGATTCTGCAAAAAACTTAAACTCGCTATATAAAAAATGATTAATTGGTATGCAAAATAAAGTAAAAAACTTGCTACAACTAATTAGTAGAACAATATTAATTAACCACTGTCATTCTATAACTTAATTTCCTTTTACTAAACCAATCTCTCTCCGCTATCTTGTCCCCGCCATCACGCTCAAGTTGTATACACTCTGTTTTCGAACACTTCAGCATCACAAACCTTTGGTATGAGAAGTACAGGCAGCATATTTTTCTACTTGCGTAGTGGATGAAATATACATCACACAAACATACAAACAAGAGTCAGTACAGAAAAGAAAAGAAAAGAAAAAAAGGGGTGGGGTTGAGCATTCCCTTATGTATGTGATAATTATCAGATTCATAATGTTACTATATAAAGACAGATTCAGAATTTTGAGTTTATAAGTTATGAACTTTAGA